TATGTTATCTTCTCCTGGTTGTAGCTTTTCCAGGATACTGGGAAGACTGTTTATGTTGTGGATTAGGACTTCTAGTGTTGTTCCTAGCTTTTCTGTATGAATTTTATAGTCCTTGGTTTTAGTCCTAGGTCCATGATCCACCTTGAGTTGGTTTTTGTGTATGAATCCCAAAACTCTTAATCGTGCTCATGCAGAACCTATATCTAGACCAAGAAACAGTTGTCTGAACTGAGCAAGGGCACACTGCAAGGTTTAAAACCAAGAAAGATGTGCATCAGAATTGGAGCCTTTCTCCATACCTGTTCAAAAAATTCTAAACAGAAGTTTAACATAAAGATTGCCTGCTTTTGAGCATTAGGCTCTTTTAAGAAGAAACAATATTGAATCAAATTTAAAATAACAGCTCAAAAGATGAAAGAGGAACCTTAGGGTCAGTGAGTTTATTATGTTAATGGAGGAGAGACAATTCAGAAAATGATGATGAGAATGGTTACTTTACCACAGAGTAATCAATGTTAAATTTGTACTAGAAATGGTTGAGTTGGCATATTTTTGCTCTGTGTATTGTCAGCAGCAAAATAAGTAAAACTGAAAAGCAGAAAAATAATACACTGTGCTGTCTTGCTGTATCCCCGTAGTCGACTTTGGGTTGGACCGCTGCGGTCCACAACGGTTGACACTGCCTCAGTTTTAGGAGTAGATTTCCAAGCCTTTCTTCCTCACCTACAGACTCTGCTGAGACTTGTTCAGCACCATAGCAACTCAAAGCCTCCTCTCACAGAACGGTGGTGACTACGCATAAGCTCCTCTGACCAGAGGGTAAACCTGGGTCTCCTGAGTCAAATGCAAGAGTATTACCAGTGCCTAGTAGAGGTCCTGTGTTTGTTGTTAGATGCCATCAGGTCAACTACAACTCCTGTGAACAACAGGTCGGTACCTTGCTCCTTCCTGCACCATTTTCACAACCCCTGATGTGCTCGAGCCCATCGTGGTCATCACTCTGCCAGACCATCTTGTGGGGGCCTTCCTCTCCTTCACTGACCCCTCTACCTTTCCCGGTGTTAGGTCTCTCCCCACAGACTGGTTTGTCCTGAAAATATCACCAAGTGTAGAGGCTGCATGCCGTCAGAGAAGCCGAGGGCTCTCCTCTTCCATTTCAGCCTTGAAAAAGAAACAAGAGTTCTGCAGCACGCAGAAAGAATCATAAGAAGTGGGACCGAAGGCCAAGCCACAACTTACAACCAGACCTCCCGTGTAAAGTTGAGAGCAGGACACAAAAGAAAAAAGGGGAACATGGACTTTGGAAAAGCAAATTCTCTCAGCAGGGAGAGTCTTCTGTGATGGCCGATCATGTCCTGTGGGGACTGCTTTTCTTTTTCTCCTTTATTTCTAATCCAAACTCCTCTTTGGCACCTCAGGAAGGAAGGTATCCTCCCCGCCTCCCCAAGAAAAGCACTCCCTCACCCACATGACTGAAAATACCTTTTGTCTTCGTCACCACCAAAGCCCAGAGAAATCCATTTCTCAGGAGTTTAGACAAGATGGGTATGAACTTAGACACAAAGACGGAGCTGAATGTGGTCTCCACAGGAGGCCCCGCACTGGGAAGCTGTGCTGAAGTGCTGGCAGAGCGGCCGTGGACATTTATCTTCATATGATGAAAATCCTCCACCTCTCACCTCTGCTATGAAAGGGGCCCATTCAGAGCCTCTGAATGAACCTCACATGTCGCGTTCCTAACGCCACCTTCGCCTGCCCATTCAACACTGAGTTATTACATTTCTGAAAACAGGTACTCCAATAATTTCCTGGCTCGTGTTCTAAGGGGGCTGTTTTCAATGAAGCATTGTATCTGCCTATTGAAATGAAGTCCTGCAGTGTGTTCCCAGGAGACCCTTCTCCTTTCGAGTGCTTGGCCTTCTGTTCTTGGGAACGTGAGGGTGGCTGTTATTTCTGAACACAGTGGCTAGAGGGCCCTGGAAGTGTGGGGTGTGGTCCTCTTGGCCAACAGGATTGTTTCGATCAATGCAAGTCATTTTGCATCTCGATTCTTCATTCTTGGCAGAGGGTGTGAGGGAAATTCTCGAACTGGCGTGTCACCTTGGACAGTAACTGCTTAATCAGAACACATAGGTCTCTGATTGTGGCAGTTCATAATTTGGTCGTTAAAAATTAATCGTGCCTGTTATTAATGTAAATAGCCCTGAATTTTCTTTTATGGCTGCCTACAATTGATGGCAGGTGGAATTAGTTTTCCATTTGCACTCGAAGGGGAAGTTTCCCCTTGAAGTAAATGCACATAATTACAAAAGCGGATGGGAATAATAGTAAGTTGTATTGTAAGTGATGCATCGATTGTGTTGTTGTTATGTGCCATCAAGTCACTTGTGACTCAAAGTCACCCTGTGTACAAGAGCCCTAAAGGCTGTTCTAACCTGTGCCAACTCACTGTCTCAAACACACTCATTCTCACCAATCCACTCACAGAATCAATGCATCTCATTAAGGGTCTTCCTCTCCTGCACCGTCCCTCCACCCTACCAAACATGATGTCCCTCTCCAAGGACCAGTCCCTCCTTGCAACATGCCCAAAGTATGTCAGACTAAGCTTCAGAATCCTTGACTCCAAGGAGCATTCTGGTTTCACCTTCTCTAGGAAAAATCTGTTTGTTCTCCTAGCAGTCCATGGTATATTCAACACTCTTCTCCAGCACCACAGCTTGAAGGCATCAATTCTTTTTTCTATCATCCCCATTCACTGTCCAACTCTCTGATGCATAGCATGTAATTGCAAAGACTTATAGCCTGAATCAGGCACACCTTCGTCTCCAGCCTGACATCGTTGCTCTTCAGTACTCTTGAGAGGTCCCTCACAGCTGACTTTCCCAATGCAACTCCTCCCTTGATTTCCTGGCTGCTGTTGACTGCGGAACCAAGTAGACTAAAACTGTTAACCGTCTCAATCTCTTCACCATCTATACTGATGCTGCCAAGTGGCCCAGTGGTGAGAATCTTTGTTTTCTTGATGTTGAGCTTCAATCCATATTGAAGGCTGCAGTCTTTGACCTTCTGCAGCAAGCGCTTCAGGTCCTCCTCAGCTTCAGCGAGCAGGGTTGTGTCATCTGCATAACGTAGGCTGTTGATGATTCTTCCACCAATCCTGATGCCACATTCCTCCTTATACAGCCCAGCGTCTCAAATGATCTTTTCTGCATACATATTGAAAAGGTATGGAGACAGAATACATCCCTGACGGACCCCCTTCTTGATTTTAAACCATGTAGTGTCTCCTTGCTCTGTTCTGCCTACTGCCTTTTTGTCCAAGTATAGGTTTCTCATTAGCACAATCAAATGTTCTGGGATTCCCATTCTTCTCAGAGTCAGCCACAGATTGTTGTGATCCACACAGTCAAAAGCCTTTGCATAGTCAATGAAGCACAGATAGACATTCTTTTGATATTCTTTTCTTTCTCCCAAGATCCATCTAACATTAGCTATAATATCCCTAGTACCATGACCTCTTCTACATCCTGCCTGCACATCTGGCAGTTCTCTGTTGGCATATTGCTCCGAACGTTTTTGGATAATTTTCAGCAGAATCTTGCTTGCATGTGGTATTAATGATGCAAGGATATGGGGAGGGAAATCATAAGAGGGGTCCTCAAAGGAGAGAGCCAACCACCAGCCTGAAATGGGAGAGGGCCTTGTTTGCGTTTTCCTGCCTTGCTCTAGCATGGGAGTCAGGCTGGTACGTGAAAACTGCTACTAAGAGTGGGCATTGGGATGTTCTCTGGGCTCCTGAATTGCCTTAGGACGAGCAGGAGGCAGGGGAACAGATGGCACTGGAGGACCAGGAAAGTGATCTAGTCGTGGTGAAAGCATCTATATCTAGAAAACAAGAAATCTCTGTATCTTTACCTCCACAGATTTAGGAGAAAAAGTGGTTTCCTGCAAAATAATGTGAGTGAATGGAACATCTGTGATATGATTCTGCAATAAACCAGGGGAAATTAAAAATTTACATATAAAAATATTTAATATAAATATCTAAAATATAAAACTTATATCTAAAATAAGAAAAGAAGTCAGTCCACAGTTGTAGTCCACAAGGAATTACGCAGCTGACGCAAAGGCTAGGTCTCTCTTGGCAGTTCAGACCCACCAGCGTCTTCATGGGAGAAAGATGATCAATCTCCTCCTGTTTGACACATTGTTAGGTGCCATCAAATCTAGTACAACTCATGGTGACCCTATGAACAACAGATCTGAACCCTGGCCCATCCTGTGCCATCCTCACAATCTCTGACACACACAAGCCCATTGCTGCAGTCATTGGGTCAGTCCACCTGGTTGAGGGTCTTCCTCTCTTTCATTGTCCCTTCACTTTCCACCTGTTCAATTTACCACCTCGGAAAATTCACTGGAGGATCAGGTAAGAGTTCTGATTCAAGCATCGTAAGTGAGTTAGAATGGTATATTCTAGGGGTGTTGGTGGTTCAGTGATAGAATCCTCCACTTGATTAATAGGCAACACGATGATAGATGTAAAGATTGAAACTGTCATCTAAATCATCTTACTTGGATCCACAATTAACACCCTTGGTGTCAGCAGTCAGGATATCAGGAAATGTACTACACTGGGAAAGTCAAATAATTTGGGACCTCTCCAGATTATTGAGGAGTAATGATGTCAGTTTGAGGACTAAGGTACACATGAGTCAGGCCATGATCTTTTCAATCATTTGTTATGCATTTGAGAGCTGTACAATAAGTAAAGAAGAATTGATACCTTTGAGCTGTGGTGCCGGAGAAGAGTATCCCATGGACAGCCAAAAGAACAAACAGATATGTCTTAGAAAAGGTACAGCCAGAGTCCTCCTTGAGGCAAAGGTGATAAAGCTTCACCTCATATACTCTGGGAATGTTGCTAGAAGAGCCTTTTCCTTAGAGAGGGACATCATGCTTGGAAAGGTGGAGGCTTGGTGAAAGAGAGGAAGATCTTCAACCAGGTGGATTGACACAGTGACTGCCGCAATGGGCTTGAGTGTGTCAGAGATGGGGAGAGCGGCACAGGATAGGACATGGTTCAGATCTGTTGTTCATGGGGTCACTGTGAGTTGTACTTGACTCAAGGGCACCTAACAACACAACAGCAGAAACTGCGGTTCAGATCATGGCTAATATACCTCATATGCAGCCACCATCCACCTGTCAGTGGAGGCTTGTGTGGTGCTGGGGTGTTGAACAAGTTCAGTAGGAGCATCTAGACTAACACTAGGAGGAAAACTCTGGTGATCTATGTCTCAGTGAAAAGCTTTAAGGATTACAACAGTCTAAGGTGCAGCCGGACTACTCTTTGGAAGCAGAGATGATGAAGTTTCAACTCTCATACTTTGGGCATGTTGTTAGGAGAGGCTATTCATTGCAGAGAGACATCATACTTGAAAGTGTGAAAAGTCAGTGAAAAAGATCTTGAACCAGATGGATTGACAAAGGACGGCAGCAATGGGCTTGAGTGTGTCAGAGATTGTGAGGATGGCATGGGACAGGACAGGGTCTAGATCTGTTGCTCACAGGGTTGCTGTGAGTCGTACTTGATGGCACCTAACAACAACAACAACCACCTGCATTCCAGCGTGCATGCATCCTCCATGAGTAAGAGAGGGATAAAGCTAACAATAATAATATCGAGGGCAGGAAAGTTTGGACATCAGCTACCCCTTTTCCTAGCATTTGATCACTTTCAATAATAGCTTGTTGGGCATCAGACTTTCCATTGTGCCATTTGTTTGCTTCCATGTAGGTACGCCCCTCTTGGCATCCTGTTCCTGATTGCAGGGAAAATTGTGGAGATGGAGGACATGGGCGTGATTGGGGGCCAGCTCGCCATGTACACGGTGACGGTCATCGTCGGCTTGCTCATCCACGCGGTCATCGTCCTGCCCCTCCTCTACTTCTTGGTAACACGTAAAAATCCCTGGGTTTTCATCGGAGGCTTGCTGCAAGCCCTCATCACGGCCCTGGGGACCTCCTCAAGGTACGTACACAAGTGTGGCTCCTTCTGCAATGGACCATTTATCAGGAAATTGACTTTGAACTAAGGATCTCTGATGGTGTAGTGTGTATTGAGTTGCACAGCTATCCCAAAAGGCTGCACATGTCCAGAGGCTCGAATCCACTGAGTGGCTCTATGGGAGAAAGACAGGCAGTTTCCTCCCATTATGATTTACAGCTTGGGAGACCTGAAGGAAGGTCATCATATATCAGAAGAACCATTGAGTTACTTTGCCTCTGAGCCTTCCAGTTGGGGATACTCAAAGCCAAACTTGCTGCAATCAATTCAGTACTGCCTCGTGTGAGAGCAGAACTGTACTCTACAGGACTTTCTGTGGCTGGTTGTTCAAAAGTCAATCAAGTCTTTCTTCCAAAGAGCCTCTGCGTGGATCAAACCATCAACCTTGTGGTTAGCCATCAAGTCTGTTAATTGATTGCACCACACAGAGATTGCAGGCCGGGGGTCAAGGGGAACATTCTGTCCTGGGTCCTAACCTTTCCAGCACATGATGCTTCTCAGATCTGTCTGGGCTTCAGGGCAAATGCCAAGCTAGATACCCTTTCAGAGACAGTGTGGAAATCCACTGGCCTTTCCTGTCCACTCTCTTGTCCTTCTTCCACTTTCCATTTGCCTGAAATGAGAGTGTCTTGGCACAGGCCTCACAGAGGAACCCGAAAGAGAAGAATGCCAAGTGACCCCATGAGGAAGCACTGGTCTAACGCTGCTTCCTCCCTTCCTACAAGTGCTGACTTGGTTCCCCTTAAGTGTGGACATAAGCCAGGAGGGAACTCTGCCCAAGAGACCACTCAGCAAGGCAGGGCTGGGACATGGGCAGTGCCAGCTGACATCCCCCTTGTTCACACTTTCCAGTTCTGCCACCCTACCCATCACCTTCAAGTGCCTGGAGGAGAACATTGGCGTGGACAAGCGCGTCACCAGATTCGTGCTGCCTGTGGGGGCCACGATTAACATGGATGGCACTGCCCTCTATGAGGCCTTGGCCGCCATTTTCATCGCTCAAGTGAACAACTTTGATCTGAACTTCGGACAGATTATTACAATCAGGTATGCGGAAGGAGTGTTACATGGTATTTTTTTGGCAGATGACTTTAAAAAAGGCAAGATGATGACGGGGAATTGGTGAAGAAGCTGATGGAAAAGGAGATCACACATAAAGAGGTTGAGGTTGGGGGGAAGAGCTGTACTTCTTTGGTATTTTAGATATATTTGTACTTTTTTCAATTACAAATATACACACTCATTAAAAGCAAAATGCTAATAGTATGGACATATAGGGCACTGACAGTTGCCTGTACTCATTCCTTCCCACCTCCAATTCCAAATAGGTGACCACAGCTAAGGTTGGTGTGTAAGGACTTTTAAGTTCCATCAATGAAAAGAAAAATGAAAGAATTTTCCATAAACTTATTTTTCATGCAAATACTGGAATCCTAAAATTTTCCATTTCATCAATATATTATGTGCTGTCAAGTCAGAATCAACTCATAGCTACCCTCCAGCAGGTTTTCAGAGGCTGTAAATATATGGGAGATTGCCCATCTTTTCCCCAGGAAGTAGCCAATGGAATCAAACTTGGTGCCTTTGATTTGTCAGCACAACTCTTTACCCCTAGTCTACCAGTGTACCGTCCATCTGTTATTGATAGGATCACTATGAGTCACAGTCGATTTGATGGCACCTAACAACAGCAACCCATGCTATATATTTTGCAGCTTTTAGAAGAATGGCCTAGATACTTTTATAGATGGTATGAACCGGGCGGCTCCTTGGAGGCAAGGATTCTGAGGCTCCGTCTAACATACTTTGGACATCTTGTCCTTGGAGAGGGACATCATGCTTGGGAGGGTGGAGGGACAGCGCAGGAGAGGAAGGCCTTCTATGAGGTGGATTGATTCAGTGACTGGGGTAATAAGGATGGGTGTATCAGAGACAGTGCGATTGGCACAGGACAGAGCAGAGTTTACGGCTGTTGTACATAGGGTCGCTATGAGTCACAAGCGACTCGATGGCACATAACAACAACAACAACAACAATACTTATATGAATACAAATACAAATCTACCTGGCTCACTCTTCTAAAAGCTGGAAAATATCAAGTATGGCTTCTTGTTATTGTTAGCTACCACCGAGTTGAGTACAATTCCCAGTGATCCTATGAACAACAGACTGAATTTTGCTCTATCCTGCATTCTGCTCAGTCTCTGCCATGCTACTGTTACTCTCACTGGGATAGTTCTCAGAAACCAGCTCCACACTGCTCCTTGTTAGATTATACTTCATTCTAAACACATTAAAATGTGTTAGCTTTGACTGGCAATACTAGAAAATAGCACTAGACTCGAAAAACTGGATTAACTTGTTCTCTCGGGTTAATTTTTAGGTGGCAGGTCAAACTCTCAAAGTTAGGTTGAGAGTTTGATTTCTGTAGAGAATTTGCTGTTGCTGTGTTTACTGTGTCTTGACTTAGCGGCACATAAGTGAAAAACCACTTCCTCCCCATTCCTGCCGCCAACTCTGAGTTTCCTTCTCCACGGGTAGACACTGGTCTTGGCACATTCTTTTTCATCCTTCTAGAAATAACACCCCTGTCAACCATGTGCATACAAAACCCCCCTTTTTACTCACTGAAAGTCAATGTGCACAACATACATGCAAGAAGAAAAGCAACTGGAGGATTCATGCTTCAAAATCTAGATCAAACCCTGATGTGTTTGAGAAATCAAAAGTCAGGTCTTTTTTTTTTTTTTCATTCCACCATACTTTATTAAGAAAATTGTCCTATGTTTAAAAGAATATTTCTGCAAGCATCCTGCGGCTAGGTCTAGGAGCTGTTAACATTCTGCCATTTTTGCATCTTCTTTCCTTCCCTCTCCCCAGGACCTGTCTGTCTCTCCCTTGCTGTGTGTGCATGTGTGTGTTATCGCCTGTCTGCAGCCCAGCTTGTAGGTCCTAATAAGAATATTCTCCTACCTAATCTTCCTAGGAAACATCTTAAAAATACTTCCCAAATATCTCCATTATCTCTTTGATAGTTTATAGTTTGAGATTTGGTTTGTTGTTGTTGTTATTGCCGTTTGTTTGGGGTTTTTGTTAGATTGTTTTGGGTTTTTTCCTCTCAGGCCATGCAAGGTTCAGATTTATGCTTTGCATTTGGCTGCTCAGGGTTGTTAGGGTTTTTGTTTTTTTTTAATTTTTTTTATTTTTTTAGGGTTGTTAGTTTTGTTTTGTTGTTTTATATCAAGAACCATTTGCTTTCAAGTCAGTTCCAAACCCTGGGGATCATGTGTCTCATCAGCTTTCACTGGTTGTTTTTTTTTAATTTTATTTTATTAATTTTAATGAACATTTACAGAGATTTTGGATTTCCATTCATTCATTGTTGCACTTTTCTCCCTGCCCAGCCCTTCCAGCGCCCAGTTCACTCCTCTCTTTGAAACGCAAAAGAAAGATTCCTTCTTTGGTATACAATCCCACAGTCCCCCTCCCACCGCCCCGAGTACACTCCACTACACAACCTTCATTCTGGACTCTTGTGATAACCATAACACCCTCTCATGTCTCGCTTTTAAATTATTCTCTCCCTCATCTGTTTCAATGCAGTATACATAATCTGTGCAGTTTTTCTCAGTCTTACCCCAACCCTGATGTCAGTCCCATTCTACAACAGTGGCACCGTGCAGGATTTGTCCTTTTGTGACTGAAGTGGTTGTTTTTTTTTTAAGAAGATCAGCAGGCCTTTCTTCTGAGGTACCTCTGACTTGAATTGAAATTCCAACCTTCCAGTTAGTAGCCATGTGTACTTCCCAGGGACTCTATTTCAATCTTTTTTAATTCTTATTCAGCTCTACAAGATTTTTGTTTGTATTTATGTTTGAGAATATGGCAACTCTTCATATATGTTTGCATGGCTCCACAATTAAACACTCTTGGTACCAGCAGCCAGGAAATCAAAAGATGAATTGCACTAGGAAAGTCTGCTGTCAGGGACCTCTCCAGAGTACTAAAAAGCAATGATGTTAGTCTGGAGATTCAAGTGTGTCTGATACAGGCCATAGTCTTCGCAGTTTCTTGCTATGCATCAGAGAGCTGGACAATGACTAGGGATGATAGAAGAAGAATTGATTCCTTTAGCTGAGGTGCTGGAGAAGAGTATTGAAAATACCATGGACTGCTAGGAGAACAAACAGGTTCGTCTTGGAGAGGGTGAAACTAGGCTGCTCCTTGGAGTCAAGGATTCTAAAGCTTTGTCTCACATACTTTTGGCATGCTGCAAGGAGGGATCAGTCCTTGAAGAGGGATATCATGTTTGTGAGGGTGGAGGGACAGCGCAAGAGAGGAAGACCCTCACTGAGATGGATCGATTCGGTGACTCAGGGTAGATATGTCAGAGACAATAAGGTTGGCTCAGGATAGAGCAAGTTCAGAGCTGTTGTGTGTATAGGGTCACAGTGAGTTGCAATCAACTTGACATCACATAACAACAATATATACTTTTATGCCTATACTTACTCTGTATGTGTCATCATGGGGAAATGGTGACAGGATGTGTGAAGGAAAGAAGATGGGGTCAGTGGTGGCCTAGGTGACTGGCCTTGCAGTGCTGGAAGCCCCAGGCTCTGCTTGGCCACAATGGGAGCTGAAAGATCAGGATCTCAGCTCACCTGTCACCTGATCTTGAATATTGCTGGGACTACTGATTGAAAAGCTAAGAAATGAAAAGGGCCCAGATCCATGTGACAGATTTAAAAGTAGTAATAACAATAACAATGTCCTAAACAAGATAGAAATGTGTTTCTCTTTCATACACAGCATCCTCTCCTCAAAGCCCTCCAGGCTGGGAGGTATCCTACGGTGTAAAGTTTCATCACCCTAGGTGAGATAGTAGTTACCTCATCCAAGTGGACCCGGATGGCTCACTATCACCAAATAATATGCAATTAAAAAAAACGAAAATGATGCAGCCTGCATGCTGTTTAATCACTTTGGCCAATGGCTCCTTGTTATTATTGTTCTGTGTTACCAAGTTGATTCCAACTCCCCACAGCCCTGTCGGACAGGTTAGAACTGTCTCCTAGGAGACTTCCCAGGCTGTATCTTTACAGGAGAAGATCACCACTCTTCTGTCTGTAGAGCCACTGGTGAATTCGAACTGTGGACATTTCCAATTAGCAGCAAGTTCTTAATGATTGCACCACCAGGGCTGCTATCGTAGCCAGAACGCTACCTCTGTTTCAGGGCTAGCTGGAATGTGTTGGTGGTCATACCATAGCTAAAGAGTTTAGTACTAGTGCTATTAATGCACTTGATACCAGCAATCAAGAGATCAGGGGATGTATTGCACTGGGAACGTCTGTAGTCACGGCCTTTCCATATTATTGAGAAGCAGTGATGTCATTTCGAAGACTAAGATATGCCTGATTCAGGCCACAGTCTTTTCAGTCACTTGCTATCCTGCTGAGATCTGAATAATGAATAATGATGACAGAAAACAAAAAGAATTTATGCCTTTAAGCTGAGGGGTTAATATCCCAGGGACTGACAAAAGAACAAATAGATATGTCTTGGAAAAGGTGCAGCCAGAGTAGTCCTGGGAGGCAAACATGATGAAGCTTCATCGCACATACTTTGGGCATGTTGCTAGGAGCAGCTATTTCTTGGAAAAGGATATCGTGCTTGAAAAGGTGGAGGGATGGTGAAAGAGAAGAAGACCCTCAACCAGGTGTATTGACACAGTGGCTGCAGCAATGGGCTTGATGTAATGGACATTGCGAGGATGGGACCGGACAGGGTTCAGATCTGTTATTCACAGGATCTCGATAAGTTATACTCCTCTTGATGGCACCTACAAGACGTAAGGAACTGAACTGCCAGCACAAAGGCATGCAGTTCAAATGGACCAGATGCTCTGAGAGGAGGATGAACAAGCTCCTCCCATGCCCTTTTCTTCCTCTGAAATCCCTTGGGCAGTCAACTATAAGTCAGTTCCAACTCCACAGTACATAACAACAAAAGAGAAGGGGAGCATTGGGGGAGAACCAGGAGAAGTCTCTTCCATGGATTTATTATTTTATTCATAAAACTCTTGTTAGGTGCTGTCTCGTTAACTTGGGTTCATAGCAACCTTACATACTATTGTAGAAGGAAGCCCTATCCCGTCCTGCACCAGCCTTACACTCTCTACTATGCTTAAGCCCATTGTTGCAGCCACTGGTCCCTCCATCTCATTGAGGAGTTTCCTCTATTTCAGTGTCCCTCTGTGATTCCAAGCATGATGTGCTTCTCCAGGCATTGATCCCTCTTGATAACATGCCCAAGTATGTGAGACAAAGATTCACTATCCTGGCTTCTAAGGAGCCCTCTCTCTGGCTGCACTTTCTCTAAGATTTATTTATTTATTCTTATGGCAGTCCGTTCGTTGCCAGCATCACAGTTCAAAAGCATCCGTTCTCCTCTGGTCTTCTTTATTCACCATCCAACTTTCACGTGCATGTTGGAGGAACTGAAAATACTGGGCTGGGTATATGGTGCTTCCACAACATAGTCTTTAAAGTTACATCCATGGTCTTTATGACACTTTAAAGAGGCCTTGGCCCCAAATATCCAGGTAATGCCTTGGTATTTATTTCATGCTTTCACATTCTCCTGTGTCTGCCCTCATTAAAAAATATTTAGCAGCATCCCAGACTCAGCTAAGAATGAGTAAGGCTAAGTGTTTTGCAGACTAAGTCAACACTGCATCTATTAGAAAATATTTATAACATTTCAGCGCTCTGTTCATAAATCATTTTGCTTTTGAATTAGTAAATTTGATTTTTTTTCCCTGGCTATATTAATCATACACATTTGGTGTCTTTACTACCCTCGTGGATAGTGAATTATTAGAAATAATTTACTTGTAACTGTTCATTGGTTTACACTTTACAAGACAATTGCAGATACATGAAAAATCATTTAGCCAGCAATGTATTCATTTTTTTTAAATGGGATATTAATAAAACTGACTTCATAGCGTCTGCTGTGAGGATCAAGTAAGATGAGCCGTGCTTAGTGTATCAGATGACACGTAAGTGCTTGATGAGTATTAGTTACTATGATCCTGGGCTCAATACTGTGTTTTGGGTATTTTTATTTTATCATCTCATTGGCATTTTTCCAAGCCCCCTCTCTTCTGTTAAGATGCCAAGTTAGAGCATGGTGTAGTGTGGGTTTGTGGGGAGGGGGTGTATGTGATCTCTATTTGGGAGCTTTGTGAAAATGTTTTCTGTGCGGATGCTTCCTTTCCCAGCATTACAGCCACGGCTGCCAGCATCGGGGCAGCCGGGATCCCCCAGGCGGGCCTGGTCACCATGGTTATCGTGCTGACATCCGTGGGGCTGCCGACCGATGACATCACGCTCATCATTGCCGTGGACTGGTTTCTGTGAGTACACGGGGTGGCACCCCAGCACGCTGTCACAGGGCCCCTCTGCCGTCCCCGGGCGCCGGGCTGCCTGGCCTGCCTGCCAAACCCAGCTCAGCCATGGAGGCAGCTTGCCCGGGGTTAAATTGTCCTCATTTCCTGCTCCCTGGCCCTTATCTGCAGACTGAGCCCCAGACGCCAGGAGCACACTCTCTATCAGCCCGCAGGCACATCTGGCTGTTAGACTTCTCACCCCATAAAGCCATTCAGGGACTGGGAAATCGGCTGTCTGCAGAGCCAACATAAATCAGCCAGCCGCTCAGGGTTGCACCCCACATCCCCACGGTGGCCGAGGCGGCAGCAGCAGGCCCCACACATGGCGGAGACCCATCCCCTTGTGTGTCCATCCTCTGACCACATGCAGCCGGATGTGCCTAGCTGGGGGAGGGCCTCCCCTCACAGACAGTGAGGAAGGGAATGGGGGTTTGGGGTCCTGGAGCATTAAGAACATTAGTTAGGGGCTTTGCACCTCCATCTTTTGTCTTCTTCCTCATCTTCTGCCTCTCTTCTCTCCCATGCTCTCTTCCACGTTATAAAACATTCTCCCCTGGATGTCCAAAAAGGAGTCCTGGTGGTGTAGTGTGTAATGTATCGAGCTACTAACTGATAGGGCAGCAGTTCAAATCCCCCAGCTGCTGCATGAGAGAAAGATGGGCAGTCTTCTAGAAGTTACTGGCAGTCAGGACTGACCCAGCAATTCGGTTTAGGCGTGGGTTTGGTTTTTGTTTGTTTGTTTGTTTTTATGTCCAAAGTGAATATGTAGAATGTAGTCAATGCTACAGTTAGCACATGTTGAGAACCCTAGAGCCAATGGCTATCTGTGGACAACCCTGAGGAAGACGCCCAGCACAGTGGATGAAGGGTGGGTGAGTTATCAGGTACCAGTGAGAACAGGGGGTCCAAAGTCACTTGGCTCTGTATTTGCCTCCTGACCCTGTATAACACTAGGCAGGCTTCCCAGCCATCTCTGTTTCCTCCTCTGTCAAATGGGAATGCCACGCCATCTGCCTCCCAGCCATGCTGTTAGGATTAAATGCAATGATCACGGAAAGGTGCCAGCCCACTACCTGGCCCATAGACCACACTCAACCAACTTGCTGGGCAGGTTCAAACTGTCAAAGGCTAACAGCCAATTTCAAACCACGGCTGCCCTGAGTCAGAATTGACTTGATGGCTACAGATTTTGCTTCCTTTTTTCCATTACTAAGGGTGTCACTGGGCGGTTTGGATCATTAATGTATTCAGCTGCTTGCCAGAAGGTTGGTGGCCTGAAGCTACCCAGAGGTGCCTTGGAGGAAAGGCCTGGCAACACAATTAAAAAAAAAATCAGCCATTCAAAACCCTGTGGAGCTCTGACCCACTTTCCGCTATGACTTAGAGTGCATTCCACAGCAATTAATTTTTCTTATTGAAGTATGTGCGCATTATATAGCCACACAGTCTCAAATGGGTTTTGGACAACATTTCCAAACACTTAGCAGCCCAGTTTCTGTGTAAAGTGCTATCTCCCAACATTCAAAGGAAACTCATTTTCCCTTCCTCCTGCCCCCTCAGGGATCGCCTCCGAACCACCACCAACGTGCTGGGCGACTCTCTTGGCGCTGGCATCGTGGAGCATTTGTCTCGACATGAACTGAAAAACCGAGATGTGGAAATGGGTAACTCAGTGATCGAAGAGAATGAAATGAAGAAACCCTATCAGCTGATCACCCAGGAAATTGAGAATGAGAAGCCTCTTGACCATGAAACCAAGATATAGGCGAACAGAAAGGAGTGCTTTTCTCGAGCACCGGGTGTTTGAAGACCATCACGCTCTTCTTCCACCGTAACCCGTTCTCTGTGTCAGTCCCTCTCTTGTTCCCTTCTCCCCCACACCCTTCACTCACCCAGTGTCAGAAGAATTCTTCCGAAAAGAAAGGAGAGTTTTGCAGTGGCCACATCCTGTGGCTTCTAGCCCATGTTTCAACACCTTCAATAATTTTGTGTCAGCCAGCCTAGTAAGAATCTTGAGGTCAAGTGCATTCTTCATCAGAACTTACAATGTGATGCGACATGCAGTCCTATATAGATGTGACCTTCTTCTGTTTCTTTACGTTAAAGAGTCACACAAAAAAGGAAGCCCACATCCACGTTTCTAAATCCAGTTTCAAAATTTTCCAGAGCATCAGTCTGTCTCCAACGTAACAACTCAATAAACTATGGTCATTGATCAGTTGGGCAGGAGAAGGGTGGTGGTTTGGTTTGGTTTTTTGTTTTTTCTCTCTCTTCTGACTTGTGTCCCTTGTGTGAGTGATAGGACAATATACACACACACCTAGCACAGTGTGAGAGGAGGCATAAGGTAAAATTTCCATGTGACTTTGAACAAGTCCTTTCTCATCTCCAGACCTGAGTCTCCTCATCTGTCAAATGGGTGCATTTCAGCACCAGACATTCTATGATACCATCAACAAGCACTCCATTTCCCACTGGGACAGCCTGGACCAAGAATCATTTCTTGGCACTTAGAGGAAGAGTTTTTAGTTCAGGGGGATCATTTCTAACAAGGGCAGGACATCGCTCTGGCTTTCCAGATGCCAAGTCCAGAATGGCAGTTATGCACGTGACCCAGGAAACTCTGCCCAATTTTTCCTGAAGAGGGAACTGTGTCCTTCCTACCAGCCCTTCCCACACTGAAGGGACTGCTCTGGGAAAGAGGACTCCCCTCACACCTCAACTGATTGATTGATAGAATTTTAGAATATAAAACAATCGTTAAGACTAGCAATAATAGGGCACTCATGGTCTTCTGTGGAACACTAAGACCCAGCTCGCAAAAAAATGGAGCCATGTGACATTAGAGAGAGAGGGTCTCTGAACTGATACTGCACGTCTTCTTTAGAATGAATTAAAAAGGCATTTCCTGTTTTTTGGAACTCTGGTGGCATAGTTCACAGGGCCTTGCTAATCCAAATGCTGTGCCTTTGTGGCAGTTCAAATTCACCACCTGCAGCTCCACAGGAGAATGATGAGCAATCTCCTCTCACAGGATTTACGGCCTCAGAAACTGATGGAGGTCAGCTCAGCATTGACTTCAGCTCAACAGCAATGAGTTTGAGGGTTTTAATGGGTTGTTTTGTCGGTTTGATCTTTTTTCCTTTTTTAACCTAGGACATTTTTTCTCTTCAGTTCAGAATCATTCCCTAAGGAAGTGTTCTAAGCCTGTGTCACAGCTTGAGGTCACTTCTGTATGTTAAAGGAGTTCAAGAAGCTTTCTGAGAGGGGTCCAGGAGCTGGGTGGGTGGTCTCTTAGTTGAAACTTTTTTTTTAAGTGAAAGTTCTTAGGGTGAGAGAAACAAGGTCTTTCTTTGTATGGGAATTTCACTTAAAAAAGTGATTCAAAACTGTCAGCTGGTGTGAGTTTTGTGGCTATGTTTCATTTGTGTCCCTGAGCAAGATGGCAGATGATGACTCTGCAGGAAGGGATTGTCAATGAGAACAAGAAGGAAAGCAGCGGGGGCATCTGCTTTGGGCATGCAGCTCCCCAGGTTTAGGGGAGAACCATTTTTTTTCCCTCTTGAGTAACACCAAGTCACAGGAGTCTAGTGGGAGCTGTGTTTTGATTTTCTGAGGGAAAACAGTGAAGCATGGGCTTAATTTTGCTAACTGACTGAAATATCTAGGCACATCCTCTGATATACAATTAGAGATCTTTTTCCTAGAGCTCCCAAGCATTTGTGTAAATGTTAACACTAGACAGTGGTGTAGTAACTATTTAACGTGGACGCTTTGTTTGGGAAAGACACTAGAAAAGTTCCTGTACGCGACTGGCACCCAGTGACGCCAGCCCGGCCAAGTTAATCGTGGCAAATTAATCGTTACGAAGCGTGATCTTGTTTGGATACTAACCATTTCATAAGGAAATCAGGCCCAGCACAGGCTCCGCACACACACATGTCCTGTGTGGGCAGAGAAAAACTGTACTTTGTAGATGTATTTTCAATAAAGAAAATAAATAGTTTTACATGATCTCCGTGTATGTGGTTGTTTTTCTTCTTCCCCAAAAGAAGATTAATTCTTTGTTTGAGTTACTCAGGGCAGTGCTGGGATCAGATCCCATAGGTATCCCACAGAGTGAGAGGGTCAAGTCCCCGCTGAACCAGCAGGAGGAGCTGACATTAAGAACAAGTTGATTCCTCTCTGTGGTTACTATTGCCATTGGTAAGAAAAACTGCCTAAGATCTCAAGGAGTTTCCAGAAACTTCCATGGTGCTAGTGAACTGCTCGATTCCTTGAGTTCCTTAGATACAATGGCTTTTTTTTCCCCACTGACTTGTTACTGGCATTTTTAATCCACTAGCAGGTCCAAAGGAGAAAGATGGACAATTTACAGCCTGAGAACTCCATTAGAATGCTGCTATGAGTTGGTTCCAACTCCGTGGCAATGAGTTATTTTGTAGCCCTTAGATGTGGAGTCCACAGACTCCTAGGTCACCCCAAAAAAGACTTCAGTGAATTCAGAGGTCCTTGGAAAGTGAAGGAGACAGTTCATGCATTTGGCTTTTTGTGGAACTAAAATGCTATATTTTCAACAGATTCTCAAAGTATCTTGTGAGCAAAAACTTAACACATCTTCACAAATGCAGCCCAGCTTTGGAATCCATTATTCTTCCTGTGGGGTCAGTTGAGGGAAGAAGTTGCTCATGTCTTGAGGGACCAAGACAACAGTAGCCACTAAGAAGCAATGAGTATCTGCATGTGGTCATGCATGGGACAGTCTAGATACTGAGCAGCATTTTGGTGTCCTAGCAGACAAGGAGTTGCTATGTCAGCCTGAAGGCAGGCAGTTTGAGCCATCAACTGCTTCCAGCAAGCAAGACAGGCAGTCTCCTCCTGTGAAGATGTGCAGCCCTGATGGACTGAGTTGGAGTGGACAGGACAGTGGTGGGTTTTGATTTATAAGAAGCTGCTTATCAGGTGTGGGAATACGTGGAGCCATGTTAAAGCATCAAGGGGTTTGAGAGCCCCGTGGGAACGTGAGGGAAGGGGGTTAACAAGGAGAAGGGCTAGAGAGCTTAAATTCTTCCATGTAGAAATCACACATCTGTTCACAAATGCCAACTAGAAAATATGCTAATTTAAGATTTAAAGAGTCCTGATTTAAAAAACAACCAACCAACCCCAAACATCAAAAATCAAACATTTCTAGTTTTTCAAATTCACTCTCCCTAAGAAGTTGGGGGCTGCACTCTCCCCTTCCCATTTGTAACCCTTCACCACCTACCTGTCCCCCGCCCAAAGCAGTCTTCCCTTGCTCAAACTGAAAAATTCCCCTTTCCAGTAAAATCCTCCTTTTTCTCAGAGTTATCCACACTGAACACAGAAAATTGAGTACTGTTAGTTGCATGGTTCAGGAAGTGGGCTGGAGGAGGAAGCAGAGGGCACCACCCTGCTGCCACCCCCTCCCGGAGCACGCCTTCAGCCCGTGCCCCCGTCGGCTCCCACAGGAGGTCGCTGTCACTCAGAGGGTCTCTTCTCCCACCCGGGTGGTCCCAGAACCAAGGTAACAATGCCCAGCTCTGTGTGGCCTCGTCATGGGGAGCAGAGCAGTTGAAAGATGTCACGCCGAGGGCAGGCGTGAGGAGGGCAGGCGTGAGGAGGCCAGTGCAGAACCGGCCAAAGCAGAGGAAGGAAGGACGGGAAAAGTTAACTGACAGTGGGTTTCCAAGCGGCAGAGTGAATGGCGATGCGAACGATACCCACAAAGGCCACCAGGGGGAGCGCGGGGCTCTTCGGGCTTCTGGCCCGGAGACCCGGACTCCCCACTAAGGATGGACAAATGCACATACAATTCCAAGATCTGCCCTGTGGCTGGAGGATCAGCCTTCTGCCAAAGGCACTGAGACGTCAAGGCTTTCATATTTCACTGTGCCTTCCACAGCCTAATTGTCCCCACGCAGAGGTTCTACAATCTGCCTGTGTTTTCTCTTTTTTTGGTCTATTCTGTGCTTTGCCTCTCTTCTCCAAGCCCCTCTCCCTCCCGCTTTTTTCTTATCTTGTTGGGAAATCCTACCCTCCCATCTCAGTAATTCCTTTTCCCAAACACGTGAAGGTATTCTCAGAAGGCTGCAACGTAGCCAGTGGTGGGTCTTCCTCTTCATGCCTGGAGAACAGCAATCTCACTCTTCGATTCTGAGACAGGCATAATATTCAGTGACACATACAAGTAAGTTTGCCAAATACAGCACTGAAAACGAACTAATCATAGCCTTTGCGTTGGAACTTTTTCGTAGCTGACCCTCCAGCAGATTTTGAGAAGTGATAAATTGCAGATTGCCTATTGTTTTCCTGTGGAAATCAGCTGGTAGATTTGAACACCTACCTGCTAGACCACCAGAGCTCTGCTCCAGGAGAGCCAGTTAAATCTGAATCTCAGCTGAATAACATGGAATAAAGAGATTTGTTGTTGTTGTTGTTGTTGTTGTTGTTGTTGTCATTGCTATTGGTGTTATGTGTCATCAAGTGCCTGTAACTCATAGCAACCCTGTGTACAATAGCTCTGAACTCTGCCCTGCCCTGAGCTGATCTCACTGACTCCGACACACCCACACCCTTTGCCCCAGTTACTGTATCAATCCATCTCATCCGAGTCTTTCTTTCATGTGCTGTTCCTTCATCCTTCAAGCATGATGTCCTTCTCCAGCCACATGTCCAAAGTATGTGAGACAGAGCTTCAAAATCCTAGCCTCTAAGAAGAAGCTTGGTTTCACTCTAAGACTGATCAACACTCTTCTTGAGCAC